AATTGTCAATCCTGGTAAGTCCCTCTAGAGACCTTATAACATTGGAATATAATCTGTTTATATCACTATGCATTCCATATTTTTTAAGTACTGGATGCATAATGTATTGAGGTGGGATGCATACTCTCCTCATCACACCTGATTATTACGATTCTTATGATTTGAAAATACTGTGCATTGACTCATCACACCATGGAAAGTTGGCTCCTCCCAATCCATTCAAAACACCCCTTACATCACTCTATGGCCTTTTAAAAATATTGTTGCTGATGCACTTCAGCAATGAAAGAATCCATAGTATTTCAAAAACATATCTTGCATATTAGTATAAATCTTACGAATTTTGAATTTTGTCTGCAAATAACTCATTTTTGTGACGCTTTGCAGATGGATTCTGACAGAATACTGATGGGATGAGGCAAATGTTTTGTGATGGGACCCATTCGAAATAATTCTCGAACAGTCTCAATATTTCGTAATGTGATAAGGTCCTAGATCCCTACCATCCGAAGTGTTGCAAGTATAGCTCTCGAATTTATAAAGTAAGACAACAAAAATTGGATGAGACTTGGTACTTCCCCAATCCATAAATAGCTAGGCCAAACTTCCTGTTAACCACCTGTAGCCATGCTGATGATTTGAACAGTACAATAAAATCCCTTAATGAAAAACAGCAAAATACTGGAGGGGGGGGGGGTTGGAAATATTCAAAATACTTGGTTTCAAAAGTGTTTTGGATTTCTGATTATTATTACTATTATTATTATTTTCGATTTTTAAATACCTATATTTGCATATACATTCATAGTATCTTGGAGATGAACCCAGGTCTAAATGTAGAATTCATATATGTAATATCCTATATTCTCTATACACATAATCCAAAAGGAATTTTATACACAATATTTTTAAAATAATTTTGTGCATGAAGCTAGGTTTATGTGCATTGAACCATCAGATAGCAAAGGTTTTACAATCTTAGCCACATGTGGAAATTTTCAGGTTTTGGAGCATTTCAAATTTCAGAATCCAGGATAAAGGATGTTTGGACTGTGGTATATAGAATATCACTAGTTTTTAATGTATTTAATTATAATACTTGTGCTTAAGTGTACCCATCCATAGTATTCATTGTATTTTACTTTGCTTTCCAAATAAGGGGCAAAATGTTCCCATTAAGATGGGACCATTTTTACACCTCTGAAGTGATGCAAATTTAATGTTGGTTGACATTTTTACTGATTTTCAGCTGATTTTTAAAAAAGATTTCTTTTAAAAAGAGGTTTTGAGTGGGTTGATAAAAGTTGGTGGGGTAAGCAAAATACTATGGTTTTGGGTACATTTTGAGTATTTTGGGGTTTTTTTGTTTTGTTTTTTGTTTTAAAAAATAATCTGGGGATTTCTGGGGTTTTCCGAAACCTCATATTGTGGGTCCTACGGCTTATATGAGGTCCAAAGGCTACATTTTGTGTACCCTGCAGTAGGAACACAAAGTTTTGATCAGAGTTACTAGATTTTGATTTTTTTTATTTGTAATCTGACCTGGATGATATATACAACCATTATATATTAATAAAGCCTCTGATAGAGAAGCTCCTTTATACAAAGCCTTTTTATGCTTGCCCAACACGCTGGTTCCTCCTCATCTTCAGTCCCCATTCTTCCCTTATTATTTCTGCCTATGGTTCCAAATTTCTATTGAATAATACCCAGGAATACATCTACTTTGTTGATTAAGATATACCTAAACTTTCTCATAACTGTTAACTTGTATCTGTATTTTAAGAAATCTGGAGTATTTTCAGTCAACTGCAGCTTCTTATTAGAAAGCTCATTTGATGCAAGCTCATCTGCCACTAGCTTATAAAAAATGTCATATTAATGTTGCTTTATGTTGTTTTTCTAGAATACATGTTTATATGTGGGGGGAACCAAAAGAAAACTTTTCATGCACTTGTTGCTGTAGGAGAAATATGCATCACCTGGTTAAAGATGTTATGTAGAGGATTTAAGTGTTCACATGGATGGAGCTAGCCAGAATATAATGTTAGTTCCAATTGAAGCAGAGGATTTACCCTCTGGTGTAAATGTAAGTGTGCAGGATGAAAGGAACAAAATATTAGACAAACGAAGTTTTGATGGTCATTGTCTTTAGAGATACTTATCTGAGTTTTTCTGGTTGGCCAGTCTCTCATGAATGTAATTACATATTGCAGACAATAGAAAATCTAGATTGCATGCATCTGAACATTCTGGAGAGATTTACTAATTAAAAAAAGGAGTCATTAGGCAAATCCCAGAATTTATTTTATCTTAGTAGTTTTTGTGAGAATTAAATAAAAAATCCCCTGTGCTGAAGAAAGTGTCCACACTGGTTGTCTGTGCTCACAGATGTACTGAAGTTCAAAATTTAATTGCTCCACATGTTTGTTGATAGCTTTTTGGAATGCATACAAATGGCATTTCAGGGGTAAGATGATACTGACATCCAAGCTTGTAACAGGAGACAAGATAGAGACGGAAATATCCTGTCCTGGCAAATTCTTGTGAGTATCCTCTAAAATACCAAGCCTGTCTACAGATGGTTTCCCAGAAGGACCAGTTTTGTTTTTTAATTGGACTTTCACTTTGAGGGCTGGCACAAACACAAGGTAGCTTGGGGAGCAATGAAACAATAATTTATGGAATGTAGTACATAATGAGGTAGGATGTATAATATTTAGAATTTCCTGAAACAGTTCAGAAAATGCATTTTATGTGTTATTGTTTACTTGCAGTGTTCTGAAGCTTAGCTGGAAGGAGGATTTTATTTTTTAAATAAAGGTTCCAAGAAAACGTATTCTTCAAAGGAAGTGATAGGGATCATAGTTTGCAAAGGTGACAAGATAAACATGGCAATAAAAACATATGCAAAAGTAGACTGCCCAGGTTTTAGGCAGCCACCAATCTGTATTTTACATCCCCCCAAAGCTATAAAAAATCAGAATGCACAGCACTGACTACTAAGGTTGCAAAAGAGGTAGAAGAGAGAGACGGCTGTGGCAAATATAAGCATTACATTACTTACTTGTAACAATCTTCTAATCTGCTTTTGCGTCATTGAATAAGTTGGTTGTAGACTTGAGGTGTTCCAGACAGTGTCAAAATACAGGTTTTAAAAGTGTGGCAAAAAATCCTAGGAAGTGACACACATATATGTCAGCCCTGGGAAATGTTCCCCCACCATCCTCATGCCTTCCTATGAAGCAGATAAAGATGGAGGGTGGATGGGGGATATCCAGCGGAAGTATTTTTTTTTTAAAAAACCCAACATTATCTCCAAGATATGCTGGACCTCATATGTATACATGCGATCCCAATGTTCGCATAAGCAAATTTCTTATCTCTCTCTTCACTTAACTGTTAATTCAAACTGTGTTTAATATTATAAGAAAGAAAGAAAAATGGTTGCAGAGGGTTCTAATTGCTTTCTAATTGTGCTTACCATTTGCCACCTGTGTTTTCATGGCTCCACTTTTGACACCCCGATCAGCTGTTTTGGGCTTTTAAAACATGGACTGGAGCAGTCCACACAGGGGGATGGGAAGGAAGCCACATGTTTTCCATGACTGCAGAGATATACAGTCATGCAAAGATTCTCATTTTTTTGGGGGGCAGAATCGGGTTTTAAGCACACTTTTTAAACACATGCTTTTCAGATTTTGGTTTGTGTTATGTCAGTCAATACTACAATATTGCATTTTAGGTATCGTTAAGCAGCATAGACTAATGGCTTGGAAAAAAAATTGAAACTTTGAAATCTTGGTTCATACACTTTTTTTGGAGGAGGCAGCTGGCTTTGAAGAGAACCAACATAGCATCTTTCCCTTGTAAACCTATCCTTCATTTATTAGTCATTTGCTTTTGCCACAGGAGTCATCCTTTTACTTTGATTTAGGCATTGCTGAAAAGGAAGAACAGCATTGTCAGAAAAGGGACAGGACATTTCACAGCATTATTTCATAATGCTGATTTATACCTACAATATTTAACCACGATGGGGAAGATTGTGACTGAGTCATTTATGGGTTTGCTCCCCCACTTTTCCTTTATTGTCTGTGTCTTGGATTTAGACAAATTGCTCTTGAGTAATGTTCTGTATTACTATTACTAATCTCTACATGGAGACTCTCTATGTGTATGTATATGTACACACATGTGTACTTATATACAAGGCTCTTTCTCTCTGGGCACATCTGCATGGACACTTTATCCCCAAAGGGGGATGAATCAGTTCTATAGTGTCTGCATGATACATGGAGCTGATTCATGTTAATGTGAGCCAATGTGCTTACTGTGTGCTTGAACCGCATGAATAAAAGTTGCAAGCTTGCTCTGAAGTTTCCCTAAGAGTACGGGGCAAAAAAACACAACTTCAGACCTATGTAAATAGTTGGGCTGGTTCCATATTGGAACCAGCTGTAAATGTTTACTCTGCCATCCCATTTTCCCCTGGGCTCTGGAATGGCACTTACTGTTCCATTCCTGTTCTCGATAGTGGCCACTGGACATGAAATGGCTGGTAGTCATCGCACATTGCTTGTAATGATGTCAGCTAGACACGAGGGCAATCAGGGAAGGGAGGTGGGAAAGGAGGAAGCTGTTCCTCTTTCCCCTCTCCTGCATCCCCTCTCCTGCATCACTGGGATGCCTGAACAATGTCACTCCAGGCCATTTTGCATTTGGTGGCCACCACTATGGCAAAAACAGGAATGGAACGATAAGAGTGGACGTTCCATGATGCTGAACAGGGTTGAGTGTGACTGAATGACCAGGACTCCTTCCTGCCTCCACAGTAACCCTAGGTCTAATCCAGAATTCATCATTCCAGATGAGTCCCAGAAAAAGTGACTACATATACCCCCCCCCCACCCAACACACACACTTTTCACACACACACCTTGCTTTTCTCATGCCTAAATATTTTCATAACTAGATATGAATCTTTTTTATCTTTTCAGATCAGCAAGATCCCTGTGTTTGTTCCTGGTGTTTGGGGACCATATTACTCAGCAATGGTGCCAGGACTCTGGCTAAATGAAGGAGGCCAAAGTGCTACTGGGAAATTGGTGAGCTAGGTTCTTCACAATAATTTTTCATGCTATTTTGTGCAGATATAAAAAAGTCCTGCAAAGATGATTTCTCATCAAAGTTTCCAAACACTTTAGAAAAAAGTGATCACACTTTTTGAAATATTCTTTCCATTCCTAATACATAAGAAAACTAAAATGGGTAATCACTGTTACTCATAGTTGCAACAAAAGCTTCTAAGATATTTGTAATAATTAAAAATACACTTTTGTGGACTGCAGCCCATCATGAACTGATTAAGTGGGTGGAAGTCCATGAAAATATGTGCCACGTACACACACATCTTTCAGCTTTGGAACTTTGTTCCTAAAAATATTTACTTGTTAGTTACAGCAAACACAATTATTCACTGATTTCAATTTTGACTTCCTTCCAGTTATAATTAGGAATTTTTAATTCAGTTATTTTCTTTCTTGTTAAGTAACTTAATAGTGCAGTCCTATATGCACAAATACTACCAACTTAGTTCAATGTGATGTAAGATTGTATAATATGTTAAAGAATAACATGATTTTTATTTTATGTATGAAGAAACAGGTGAAGTTTACGCTTCACAAAAGCCTGTGTACATTTAATTAGTTAGCCATTAACCTTGTATTTTACAAAACTGAAAGGGGAAAGATCCCTGCTACTTTGAACTTTTAGAGAGAGGTGAACAGATGGAAAAATTGGAGCCCCCAGTGGTGCAGTGGGTTAAACCAGTGAGCTGCTAAGCTTGTTGACTGAAAGGTTGCAGGTTTGAATCCGGGGACCGGCGTGAGCTTCCGCTGTCAGCCCCAGCTTCTGCCAACCTAGCAGTTCGAAAACATGCAAATGTGAGATCAATAGGCACCACTCTGGCAGGAAGGTAACAGCACACCATGCAGTCATGCCGGCCACATGACCTTGTCTACGGACAACGCCAGCTCTTCGGCTTAGAAATGGAGTTGAGCACCACACCCAGGTGCAAAGTAAGCATTTGCAGTATAGTTGATTTTGCCCAGGGGCGCTCTTGAGGCGCTCTTGGGGGAAAATAGACCTTGACATATGCGAGCTGTAGTTACTGGGATGTATAGTTCACCTATAATCAAAGAGCATTCTGAACTCCACCAATGATGGAATTGAACCAAATATGGCACACAGAACTCCCACGACGAACAGAAAATATATATCAGTGATTGGTTGGGGGTGGGGGCAAAATACTGTTTGCTTACCATTGAAAATTACCTAGGGCCGCCTCTGATCACACCCCAGAGTCAGACACGACTGGACTTAATATCAGGGGAAAATCTTTACCTTTACCTAGAGATGGAAAAAGAATTGATATGATATCCACGTTTTTAATCTCAACTGACATGCACATGCATTTCCAAGCTTTGCTAATTTAGGGTGTTGAAGAATTCTCAGCCACAGTCTCACATTTCACTTGCTGAAATAGTACAAACCACTATTCTTGCTGATGCATCTTGTACTGTTCCATAAAATAAGGCAAGTCAAAACATAGTTATTGTATTTTTTTCCACAACTTTTGACTCAGGGCTTATTTTTCTGCACATCAGGAGAATGGGCCTTTGTGTACAAACCCAGAAACAAGACTATAAGCCTCTTAGTACTGTAATCACATGGCAATTTTGAAGCTAACAAGAATTAACATGAAAATTCATCTTCCTTTCTTTATAGATAGATCATGTCGTCCAAGGACACACAGCATTCCCAGAACTACAAACAAAATCTGCAGCCAGGTCAGGTCATTGTCCTTATTTCTTTTTCATTAATAGTCTGTCTTAGAAACTTTGGCTGCAGTCCAAAAACCAGTTCAGCTGGACTGTTCCAGTTTAACAGAGACGTGGGTTGGGCTCTCTCACACTATATTAATTTATTCCCTTTCCCATCTTGTTCTTCATATTTCCCATTTCAGAATACAGTCCCTTATTTATTTTGAGCATGTCCACCTGAGGACTGGTTCACGTGGCCATTTCTTTCCTCCCGGCTCTGTGTCTCATCATGTTGTTCCTTTCAAAAATAGTTAAAATCCATGTATTATAAATATGAATATAACATTCAAATAATAAAACTGCAAAGACAACATGAAAAACTACTAAGTAAATAAAAAATACAAAGTAATCAAGCCATTTCTTAGATGTCGGCATCACACACACACACAAATCTTTGCCCATTTGTGCTTGTAAAATAACCTTGTTAATTCTCAAGCAATGTGAGTGCATTTACCAGAAACTTTTTATGTGGACACAGGATTGCCTGGACTGCATTGCTGCAAAATTCAAGTTATAGCCATTTTTCCTTAATCCAAAATTACTTCAGAGCTCCCAGGATGTCTCTTGAAACACCATAATAAAAATAATAGAACAAGCGACTGAAATTTTGAACATTTACACTTATGCTGGAATATCTTTAACCTAATATTAGATCACATATTTGGCCTTCTGCTTTGCAGTTAGAGACTTTTTTGAGCTGAGTTTCATGTGTTTCTTTTAGAAAAGCACATGTCACAAATCCTGACAAATCAGTATTTCACATTTTAGGTATGACAGGTATTATTATCCCACATTTCTTATGTGATGTGGGATCTTACATTAGACAAAAAATATTTTTTTATAAAGATACATTTATAATTTTTATAAAGATTAATATAAAATGAAACAGTACTGTGATTCTACTTTAATTTAATTTAAAGAACAGTATTGGGCATAATGTTAATTTTGTCTGCACCTTTCATTTTAGTTTTCATTCTGGAAAATGATGTGACTCTTGACCTTCTATCCATCAGTATTGACTCCTATATACATTTTCTTGTGTGAGCTGGCCCTACACTCTATTAAGCCACTTATTTTTCTATGCTGGTGAAGTGAAGTCAGTAAAGATTTGTAACTGCCTCTCAACCTCTCACAATTCAGAGTTAGCATTTAGATAATGATGCATGTTCAGAAGGGAGTTGATCTACACAGGCCACAAATCCTGGCTTTCATCTTCTGGACTACATGGGGCAGAAATCACTCTTGTGTATCCAGAGAATGTCGGGGTACTTCCAGCCTCTAATTTCATCCCATGTTATCAGAATGCTTCTGCATAGTTGTAATTCAGAACGAGCCATTTTGTTCACATAGTCAGTACCATCATCCCATTTTCCCTGCACTCCGCAAGGAGGACACCTTTGTCACCACAGCAGTGGCCGCAAAAATCCAGAGAGCTCCTGGTTATTGCTAGATGCCTTTGGCGTTATTAGCAAAGGTTCTTGCATGACCAAGAAAAGTCCCAGACCCTCTCAAATGTTCTCTGGGATAATACTTGGAAAACAAACTCCTTCCTAAACTCAGTGAAGATCAAAGAATGACACATGATGATTCAGTCACAATGATGGAACTTGTGGAGGTTGTTTCAGAGTTGGAAATGGGAAAGTCACTGGGTCCAGATGGACAGTTGGCGCTTCACTATAAGATTCTGCAAGAGTGTTTATACCGCTACTCCAAATGATGAAGAATGAAAAACAGACACAGTTTTTGAGATTTCTCCCCTTCTCCAGACTCTTTTGCAAGCATCTTCCTCATCACAGTGCACCTGCCCCCACAACACAAATTTATGGGGGAAAGGAAGAGAAAAATATTCAGCACAGTTTTAATAGGACAGCATGGGATGAGTGGAAATGACATAAGGATGCTAAAGAATAATAGCAACCTGCAAAACTATTGGTATTTTTGTTTCATCACTGTCCTTCAAGGAGTCATATTAAACAACTTCTAAAATATGTGAATAATGATATGAATTAGTTATTTTAATGTTTTCCAACTGCACCTCATTTTGAATCATACCCTCCAATAGCAAACACATGGTAAGGCCTAATTGAAACAATGTGCAGCTGAATGCTTAAATGCAGAATATAAATATGCAGCTGCAGAGAGGTCATAAGTCAGAGTAGTAAACACATGCCAAATTCCCTCAGGGAGCTCATTAGTGTATAGCTGAACATATACGCAGAGCCTAAATGAATATCACTATTTAGACCACCAAAACCAAGACAGTGACAAATCAATTGTAATTATAAGAAGATACTCATATTGACAAACTCCTCTGAAAACAAGGAGACCTCTCAATATACCAAATAAAGCCAAACAAGATTATTTTTTATTCAAAGAAATCTGATCTGTATGTTATTCTTAGAGATGTATAAAGAGTATTAACATAGTAGCATATTTGACTTGCATGTTAGCACAAGAAAAATGAGGCTAACTCCCAATTCCTTATGATTTCTGTGAGATTTGTCTTGTTTCATTTTCTGCAGATTTCACCCTTCGGGTGCATTCCAGAGAAAGTTAAGTTTCAGTAAAATGAATAGAAATTGAGCACACTAAGCATTCTCAGGATTACACCCAAGACATTCAGTAATTGCTTTGTGCCATGATTTGTGCTAATGCCAAGATTTCCAGACACAGTGGGATCTTAATGAATAATCTACATGATTTACTCCATGTCCAAATGTTTTGCCTGCTAAATTTCATTCAAGGTGCTCTCTGGTGCTTCTATGGTGTACAGTTCTTTCTAGGGTGTGTGAAAAAGTACAGAATCTGTTCTGTGGCTTGCATTATATCGAACAATCAGCCATGTTGGTGAGTTCTGATGGTTTTTATACTCCAAGTCATCTGGAAAGCAACATGTTTTCCGCTCCTGTTGTAGTCAGTTAGTGATCTACCAGATGAGTGAGACATGGGGTACATCTGCCTCAGGCCTGAACAACCTGTGATCCTCCAGGGGTTTGGGACTCCAGCTCCCACAATTCTGGGAGCTGAAATTAAAAACACCTGAAAGAAGGGCAACAAGCTGTGCAGGCCTGATCTACACTATAGAATGAATGCAGTTTGACACCACTTCAAGTGTCATGAGTCAAGGCAATGGATTCCTGGGAGTTGTAATTTGGTAAGGCACCAGGCCACTTTGGCAGGAAAGGCTAAGGACAGTTAAAGTGGTGTCAAACTTCATTCAACAGTTAGATGCAGCCATTATTAGTGTTTTGCAACCTAAGGCTACAGTCCTCAAATAGTCCCCTGCTTGCACAAAATGACTATTCGTCTCGAGTAAATATGCTTAAGATCAGAAGGTAAATCATTCTCTAGTTGCGACGAAGATGAGATTCTTGGCTCATTCAGAACTTTATCCACTTTCTTCATCAGTGGTGCATTCATAGGAAATAAAATATGAATATTCTCTGTTTTCCCTTTTGTCAGTTTGGGTTTGTCAGACTTCTGATGATTTGTATGTGAATCTCTTGTTCAGCTGGGATTCTGGAATGTGTTCAGGGAATAACCCTCCCCCCCCCTTTCTCTCCCTCCCTCCCACACCCCTTTTCCTGCTTGTTTTTCTTTCAGTGCTCAAAGTATATATACATACTTAAATGGTCACCTGGATCTGATTAAGAAATCTTTGCCTGTGGGTTTTCTCACTGTTGATTTACATGTTTGGCCAGATTTCCACGGCAACCGATCTCCCCTAGCAGATCTGACTCTAAAGGGCATGGTAAGAAACAGCGTGTCATTGCAGAAGAGGGAAAATAGAACAATGAGGTAAAATAAGGGCTCAAAATGAGCATTTGTAGTTTAAATATATTCAATGTATTGTCAAAGGCTTTCATGGCCAGAATCACTGGGTTGTTGTAGGTTTTTTGGCTTTATGGGAATGTTCTAAAAGCATTCTCTCCTGATGTTTCACCTGCATCTATGGCAGGCATCCTCAGAGATTGTGTGGTAACCTCTGAGGATGCCTGCCATAGATGCAGGCAAAACATCAGGAGAGAATGCTTCTAGAACATGGCCATGTAGCCCAAAAAACCCACAACAACCTACATAAATATATTTATCAGGTCTTCATAGAAATCTCCCAGAGTTTGGGTTTCCAGCTTTTTTGATAGAAATTTGAACTTTCTTTTAAAGAAAAGGGACATCCAGAACATTTTATTTATTTATTTATTTATTTATCTAAATTAAAATAACGTTTATTTGAACAAACTGAATTTCCTTTCCTTTGGTTGCCACTGTATGAAAGGAAATCCTTTGATCTTCTGCAGTCCTGTACTTAATCCAAAATATGACTGCCTTTATTTTACTAAATAGATATTAGATGTGACCTCTAGTACTTCATTACCTAAAACTATGATGTCACTATCTATATCTTATCTTTTTCTAAATACACTATAACTATCTATCTATTAACCCTGATGTGATTATTATTACTAATTTATATTTATATTTTATTATCTGAATGGAATAAAAACAAGTTTCACACACTTTCTAACTTTGGGAAACATAGCAGAGCTTTGTATGGTCACGTGTGACTTTATGTTACAAGAAAATAGCTTTTAAGATGCCACAGTGGGCTTTTTTGCCATTTTCTTGACTAACAGCACATTTGACTGCTTATAATTTTCAAGACTTCAAACTCTTGGACAATCTTCTTATAGCATAAAACCCCATAGGCAAGAAGTTGCTGTATTAGGACCATAGAGCATGTAAACTGATCATTTGATATGCGATGTAGGCTTACTATATGAACCAGGTGATAGCTGAAGAGAACAAACACAAATATTTTTTGAGTGTCAGCAAAAAATTTTCTTTTTCCCCTGCAGGTGGTAGGACTGACTTTATCTCAAGGCCTTGATGATCTTGCTCTTATCTATTTGGCCACAATTCAGGCCATTGCAGTAAGTAATTGAAAATGATAAATTTACATTTTTTTCTCTTTTTTTCTTTTTTCTAAAAAACCCTATGAGACTTGATTTAATTTTATTTATATCTTTGATCAATCATTGACTTGTCTGAAAAAGATTTGTAAGTATGTTCTGGGAAATGGAGGAAAGAATTGTTCTGGTACAATTCTTGGCCAGGTTCCTATCTCTCTTGAAGTTCTTTTTCTCTCACGGTTTCTAGCCGTGGAACCCTGCCCAACTTTTCTGAAGTCCAAAGTATGTGTCAGTTTAAACTCATTTTTCACAACCCTCAATGTCACAAATTCCAAGATGACATGCTAACTTTCCTGGAGTGATCCTGCTACTTTTACTTCATCGGTTTGTCCTTGTCTTTTCATTAAGATAATCATCAGGTGTGCTTTGATCCAATCTTTTCAAGATTAGATTTTCAGGATCGCTGAAATCTAGTCTTTTTTTAAATTTATTTTTAAGAAAGCATCACTCATGTCTTCCAGCTGGCTATCATATAGTTCTGCAACAACATCACTTTTTTCTCCTTCCTTCCCTATTTATTCATTTCAAGCTAGCCTTCCATTTTCGCAGTCATGTTTTCTTTACATCCTACAGTATTAAGTCATAAGAGTCATATCACCAAATCTCAGAGAATCCCTATTACTCCATTTAGGATCCATACGGTCATAATTTCTGTTCTCCATGTATAAGTCTACTGGGGTCAGAGATTTTGCATTTTCCTGGTTTTCTTGCAGTTTCTAACTTCAGATTACTCTCCATTTGTTCCTAGTCTTTTTGCCACAATAGTAGAGCACCATTGTTTATGCTTAGCGTTTGCTTTCTTTTTTTCACAACCCAAACTTTTGCTTAAAGCCATGTTGATCTGCAAAGCTTCTGAGAAAAATTATTCTCAATTCTCAGGAGGTGCACCACATAATCTGCAAAGAGGCTGTCATATTATTATCATAGGAAATGGTCCAAGAAATCAGGCCTTTCCTCGCAACATTATCTGCATTGCCAGCTGGTGACTTTCAGTATCTTTCTTTCTCTGTCAATGACAAGATCCTTGACAGGAAGGATTGTTGAAAACACTCTTGTTCGTGCAATTTCTTCACTTTTCTACTCAAAAGCTTCATAGAGTACCATTCAACATTTCTTCTGGCTTTATCAGTTATTCTCACATGAATCAGGGGGAACAGATAGTAGTCATTTGATATGAGGAGACTTTCTTTGCAGTCTTGATTAAATACTCTAGGAACATAACACACCTCTCAAGATGACATGTCCAATGTGTGCATGGCTGCTAGTATGCTATCTGTAGGGAGTCTTAGACCACTATCACACATCTTCTCCTTGTAAGATTACTGGTTGAATTCCTTCTCCCCAAAATGGGCTCTTGATTTTCTTGGTCTAAAATATCATGTTCATGCACTTTCCTACCATTAGAAAGTTAGTAATAAGTTAAAGTAACTTAATAAAAAGTTAAAGTGTACAAAAAGATGTTTTTGATATTTCCACCTTTCAATACCTTTCCAACCTGTTGTCCTGAGGCAGAAAGAAAAACATGGCACACACTCAGCAGATCACTGGAATGATTTTAAGGGTATTCCTGGTGTCTTTCCCATTCTCCTGGAGTCCCTCAACTTTTTTGCCGAACTTCCCATCAGAAACTCACTTTGAGGAAATGGACGACTTTGGTGCATAACTCACCTGCTCCAATTAGCCTGGTCATGAACTTTAGCCTCAGACCTTTTCAAAAATAGAAACAGGTTTTTATATAGAAGCCACTTGAGTCAACAACCAAAGTTCCAACTTTCCCCTGGAGAAAAGCAACTAAGAGAAGAAAAGAAGGTAGCAAAACCACAGTAACACAATAGTAGGTTTCTAAGCTAAAAGGGAAGAGACAAAGAGAAGGAGAAAGAGAAAATACACACACTCCCAACTACAATTACAGACTAAGTGTCAAACTATATGTTAAAGGGAGCACATATTCTCTGTGATTAAATGTTTTCTTCTTCCAAAGTGGGAATTACTTAAGAGATGTGTCCCTCTGTAATCATACTTGTAAACTAAGTCTGTGTTTACTTTCCAAATCAAAAAACAAAGCACACTAAAAACAAAATATGTAGGTGAGAATAATCACATGGTATGACACGTAGACATCTTTTTGCTACTGGTGAGAAAGCCACTTCTAAAAACATGCTTAATGTGTAAAGTAGCCTATTCGTTTTAGAAATGTTTCAGGAAAAAGTTATTTTGAGACATTGCAACTTAGCTCTTAGATTTCAGCTAGGTTCCCCTCTTTCCCTGTCGTTTGTTTATGTACTAAGTTTCTCCCAACCTGACAGCTATGACAGCCCGCAATACATATCGAAACAAAATGCAGCTTAAAAACTATCATTCTAATACATTTTAATCAAATAAATTTTCCTACAGAAACATCACTATTTCAAAGCATTTTCATATATGCATTTAAAAGATCAGAATGAGAATAAAAGTACAGCATCTTGCATAAAAAGACTCTTCTACAACAATAAAGTGAAAGTGAAAAACTCTATTAAAATAAGAAAGTATTATCTTCCAGCAGACCTTGTCTCCTGTGGGAAGGAGTTCTATTTGGCATAATTTGAGAAATCCCTTTTATTACTCATTTTAATCCTAAGTAAATACGCTTGTCCTCTGCATCTTCTGCAGAAGAAATATTTTAAAAGAGAGGTTTCAATTTGATGAGATATAATGGAAAAATATCATTTTGATAATGTAGGATGTTTAGGGTTATAATATGCTCCATTTGTTTCTCCTATTGTACTTGAATTTCTAACAAGCCGTCTCCTATGTATCTGGTAGATGGGGTACTGCTTCTCATGCCAGAAATACAGAATGCAGGAAACTGTGTTTCTCTTTTGTTGTGCACAATCCTCTGGAGTAAATAAGTTCTTGAGATAATTAAGGTAGCCACCACACCTTCTTTTTTTTTTTT